GATCCTTGGTCCATGAGATTCTCATCCTGCAAGTGCGTTTTGTACTTGTTTGTCTAGCATCAATGCAACTCTTTGTGTATGTAGAGCTTTTCTTCTGTATGACCAGAGTATAACAGAACCTCTCCTGAAGCTATTCGTTGTTGTCCAATGTGTTTCACTGATCCCAAGCAACTCTAGGTTGTATCTCCTCATTTCTGCAGCAATTCGGAAGACTCTCACGGTCTCCCATATTGTACGAGCAGTCCATGTACCTAAATAAGTGGGTGCTTTGGTTGTCAGAATGGGCATTAGCCTCGTGGATTCCGAAGGAACTCGGCTTTCACCATGAGGCGTCATAACTCTTCTAAATGAAGACCTGGTTCCCAGGGCAGAGTTTAAGTGGTTTGAATAATTTTTCTCGGGCTAGCGTTTTTTAGCGAGTTGGTTTTCTACGAGATGGGACCGGCAATAGCCTCAAAGGGGCTCCTGACGGATTTTTCCTCGTGATGGAGTGTAGTGATTCACAAATTGTATGTCCTATCCACCTCCAACGTCTTTTCCTATCCTACTTTTCATCTGGGAGCTTGTTTGTCCGCTAGAATAGTAGGTTGTTGCTAATAATATCCAGCCAATTTACCTGGAGTATCTGGTGTAGACAATTAGTTATAAATACCTGTACATTTTTGATGACTGTGGTAGTTCTTCACTTTTCGGCTTCGTACGATAGAACTGTCTTGACGTTTGTATTGAACGTTCTGACTTTGATGGAGGCTGAGGAAATTCCACCTTTGCTTTGCCAGTCTTTGTCTTTACGTCTGTATCAGATTCTCCTTCTTCATCGATGATGCTTCCCAGTTACGTAAAACTTCCGACCTGTTCCAGGATTTCTCCATCAAGTGTGTGATAGTCTCTGTTGTTTTTCAGAATCTTGCTTTTTTCACCGGACATGTTCAAGCCTACTCTTACAGCGGCTGCTGCTTTGCTGATTGTCTTCACCTTCATTTGTTGCTGTGTATGGGATAGGGGGCCTAGAATATCTGCGAAGTTCAGATCGTCTAGTTGCGTGCAAGCTGTCTGTTTTATTCCGTGCTTCTCCACTGCTATCATTGGTGGTTGTATTGCACTAGATAATATTCATTATCATCCGTTCCTTTGTTTAGAATGCTTTGATTTTTCTAATCCCATAGATCTCCCATCTCATATGTTCTTTTTGTGCTGCTTTGGCGTTTCCTTCAGACAACCAGCATAACAGCGGCGCTGCCTTCCTACAAGGAATTGTGAGGTTGGAAAAGGTTGACCCTAAAAATGCACACTTCACCTTATCCCACAAAATTCTGTCTCCGGTGACAAGGTTCCAGTAGCACGAAAATTACTCACAAAAATGTCGTGTGTGACCGACCTCAAGCAGCTGTACTTTGGGCACTGGGGTCACGCTCTTAGGTCACTAACATCACCCCTAATCCAATTTCCTTTTCATGTACCTCTAGAATAACCTTTCCACGGTGTGGGAAATCGGGAATTGATAACTGTCCTCATGCCTCCAACAGCACTCAAGATCACTGTATTCAAATCAATCTTCCTCTTCAATTCCTATTATTCCTCCTACATCGACTTTCAACTCTAAACTTCCTTCCTCCTCAAATATCGCTATGGCCAACCATTCTAGTGTGCAAAACACTCTCAGGTCTACTGAAACCTCCCTCCAAACTACACATTGAAGCCTTCAACGTACGTCCACTATGTCAAATCGGTCAGCAGACCTCCTTGGCTAAAACCTTAGAATCTCGTACCATTGATGTATGCTGTGTCTCCGAAGCACGCATAAGGATCCTAGTGTGTTCATTTACTTGACCTCACCTTTCCAAAACGAAGAGCCGACGAGATACACCATCCGTTTTTCTGGCGACCCAACGGCAAATTATCATGGATTGGCAGATGTAGGCATAGCATTGAGTACGAAGTCACAACAAGCACTAGAATGAATTCCCGTTAACAGTCGTCTAACAGTGTAATTTGCTCAATCTACTCTTTGTTGGTCTGAAATACTTATTGTTATATCCGAGTGAAGATTAAATTACAGGTAACTTCCGAGGACTATTCATGGACTAATATTCTATAAATATTCTTATTGTATAACTACTCAACAATTACACTATGTATATTTATATCCCTCTTATGACAAGCTTTATTTTGGCCTACAATTTATTATTGTACGATTTACGGTTCTTAAGTTATGTTCAGTTTATTAACTACTGCCTCCCACATTCACAGCCACTTTCTGGGCTTATTTGTGTACAAATATTATTTCCTATTTTATGGTACGTTGCGGTCTGTGTGATTGATATATAAACCAAGTATGCCTGAAATAAACGATCTGCTCTGATTCGGAAGCTGGTATCTTGTTCTGGACTCAAGTGGAAGGGCTCGTAGGACATAGGACCAATAAGGACACTAAACTGCCCACACCGGTTGAACGTCATTGGTTGGCCTAGTGTGAAGATTCGTATAAGTCGTATCCGGATTGGTAGATAAATCGTGTGATAGAAAAACCAGACACCCAAGGTCATAACAATTGGCGACGGGGATTTTAGCAAAAACAAAATAATTGGGAGACGCAAGGTCATAACAATTGGCGACGGGGATTTTGGCAACAAAGAAATAATAATACAACAAGTGGTGACTCAGATTTTGGAAATAAATTAGCTGTATAATTGCCGGTGATTTTTGGAGCTAATATTATTGGCAAAAAAAAATGTCGATTTCTTTCGAACAGTTGTGGTTAATATTACAGCACCAGCAGAAGATGTTTGCCTTGCAACAACAGCTATTTGTAACAGTTTTGGGCAGACTTTGCATTCAAGCAGAAAATAAGAAATCTATATATCATGCAGATAATGGTGCAGTAATGGACATTTCAGAAGCATATCCTGTGCAGGATTCAAATCCTTCTATACCAGAAGGAAAACGTAATATTGGTAACGTGTCCAGCTCAGAGCAAGAAAATATTGTGCTAAATGCACATGAAGTTGTGACAATACCAGATGATCAGGAGCCAGATCCTGTAGATGATGCCCAGAGTCCAGAATCAAATGAAACACTACTGGTACTGTCTAGCTGCGAAAATAAACGTCAGCTCGAACAAAATTGTGGTCCACGTGCTATTAGTCGAGAAAGCTATGGTGACTCGTATTCAGAAAATAACTGGAGCAACACGATGAACCAAATTGTACCAGATGTTACTCAAAATCACCGGAAGACAGAATTTTATATTGAGTCAACTTATCCCATTTCTAATGACAGTGTGCCAGATATTGATTCTCAGAATAATGCATATGATTTTGATGAAACTTCTTATAACAATGAGGGAAATATGTCAGCTGAGTCGAATGATGGCCAAAAATCTAATTTAATTCTGTTAGACGTTGACTTTCTTAATGACTCGTTATCTGCTAACGAGATTCATAATGAATTTGAAAATAATGAACTCAGATCAAAGGTCGTTCATCATCATCTAGTCATTTTTAGTGGCTTCTCCAGTCAATACGAGAAACATGGTTTAAATAAAGTCCTACTAGTTGTATTTTGGAGCCATAAGGACCCAACATTATTTCGAGGAGGAGGAGAATGTTGAGGAATTTAAAGTCACATATGATTCTTTTTTTTAATCAGAATCTAAAGTTGGAATTTTCAAAAAAAAAAGGGGGAGGTGTTATATCCGAGTGGAGATTAAATTACAGGTAACTTCCGAGGACTATTCATGGACTAATATTCTATAAATATTCTTATTGTATAACTACTCAACAATTACACTATGTATATTTATATCCCTCTTATGACAAGCTTTATTTTGGCCTATAATTTATTATTGTACGATTTACGGTTCTTAAGTTATGTTCAGTTTATTAACTACTGCCTCCCACATTCACAGCCACTTTCTGGGCTTATTTGTGTACAAATATTATTTCCTATTTTATGGTACGTTGCGGTCTGTGTGATTGATATATAAACCAAGTATGCCTGAAATAAACGATCTGCTCTGATTCGGAAGCTGGTATCTTGTTCTGGACTCAAGTGGAAGGGCTCGTAGGACATAGGACCAATAAGGACACTAAACTGCCCACACCGGTTGAACGTCATTGGTTGGCCTAGTGTGAAGATTCGTATAAGTCGTATCCGGATTGGTAGATAAATCGTGTGATAGAAAAACCAGACACCCAAGGTCATAACACTTATGATGTATTTTTTGTCCATAATTTCAATTATCCATGTTCAATCTTCACTTCTCATTTATAGGTATCAACGCCAAGTTTGAGCTTGACAGTTTCAAATAAATTGGGCATCAAGTAGAAAGTTGATAATAAATTTATTTTTTGTTATATCCCAATGAGTAGAAAAATTGTATTTTTGACGTTTTGTGACTTAACCTAAGCCACTTCTTCAAAGTAACTAAATCACCGAATTCACTTCTCATTGTTTTGTATTGCGTCCGCGTCGCTTATTACTTATACTTAAAACGGGGAATCACTATTATTCCCACGACGCGAGGTTAGAACTTGGAAGATTAGTGTAAGTGGAGATTTACTGACTGCAAAAGAAATTCGATGACCCTAGTCGGAAATTCATTGATTTGTACACTTATTTAAATAGTTATTAGGGAAATGTCACATAAATGAAATTATAACAAAACCACATGCTGCGCATCATGCTAAGCATAGTTCGCCTTAATTCATATCTCAAGAATATCAAATCTTGAATATGCATCTCACTGAAATAAATCAATGTTGTACTGAATAAACTATCACACTGAAAGCAAAACAAATATTATACTGAATACACATATCGAATTTAAAACTGAAGTAATGTTGAGCAAGAATCATGATGTGCTAGAAATGTAATCCTTTCATTCCGTTTTCCACACAAACGTATCATCTAGGTATTTGCCAAATCTTCACCTTTCATTTTATTGTTTTGTTGCATAGAATTTGTGACAGTTTTATCTAATTTTATTTCTAAATATATAGGAACTCACTGCACACGATATTGATGTCCACAATGTCATTGTAAATCAACTGTTGTTTCCAAATTTATTATCATCATGTGATGTCTCATCTAAGGATCATTCGAATGAACCTCCATCTAATTGTCGAATGTGCTTAGCACGTCATCGAATACAATCGAAATATCTGGAACAAATTTTAGAACTATATGAAGACATGCATGTCATACAATTACCTCAATTAGAAAATGAGGTAAGAGGAATCAAGTCTGTTCAAGAATTCTCCGAACTTCTTTTAAACCCTTACCGTAGGAAATAAAAATTATAGGATTTGGACGTTATTTGTAAAAATGATGTCGTTTGTGCACTTTTGTAATTATTCTTTCTTCTGAAAAAAATATTAAACGTTTTTTTCTAATGAACTGATTCGAAAATAACATGCCCGTTAACAGTTGTTTCTTATTTCTTTAGCACTGGAAGCATCTTTAATAAATTTTCATTTTAAGTTAATTTCTAATTTGTTTATGTAATTGGTTCCAAAAATCCGTTCACTAATATAATTGACACATTTTCAACAGATTATTATAATGCATAGGCGGCTGAAAAGGGATTTTGATTTTTTATTTGGAAGTTTCTGTGTCTGTTGCATGTGTAGGATATTTGAGTATTCATTTTGATTGGTGCATTTTTGGATGATGTAATTACATATTAAGTAATTGTACTTTCAGGATTCTAATCAATTCAGGAAACGTACTGAAGGTTTTGTTTTTAGTTCATATTTAGACAGCTAGTTATATTCACTGTTTTTTAGGCTGTTTTAAATGTACGTCACGCGTTGCCTTAGAAGTTGCAACTACTTTAAACAAAACGTAAATCTTTCGCAGAAAATTTCGAAACACACGACCAGAATCGTTATAAGACTTTATGATCTCAGACGGCTGGAGTTATTCGTGTTTAGCTACAAAGAGATGTGACATTACAATCTTCATGCTATATACCAACCACTCAGAATGGATTCTACTTCTTGTTGGAAATAAGTACCGTACGTAACAATCTCCAAAGCAACATAAACACAGTCTCACCAGTAGATTAGTTCAAGCTCAAGTTAGGTGTGTCGTATTCAAACGAATCTGTAAATGGTCTACTACTACGCACAATGTGGTTCCTAGCAGCCAATCCAACTCTTAAGATCTAAAGGCTGCGCAACCGTGAATTTGTTTAAGAGTAACAGGATAGTTTGATTTTTTTTGCTTGTTTTTAGTTGTAGACTTTGTATGTTTAGGAATAAAATATGTTTAGAAAGACAGGAAGAGATGCAAAGAATATATTATATGTCGAGGGACCAATAATGATGTTAACAACAGTAATAATTATAGATACGAACATAAGCGGACTTCATATCTTAAAATGAATAGAATAAAAGAAGATAGACGTGAAAAGTTTCAACGGTTACATTTTGCTTTTCAATTAACTAGATACATGACGGACCTTGGCTGTATTGATCATTATTAATGACATTAATATTCAATAAGTGACATAATCCAATTTCGGAAAGAAAATCATCCTGGAGACTTCTGAACCGGGTTGTAGTTTCACTACAACGGAGGTTAACTGTCAGTCTTTTTTACATGGTTGAGTAGCGAATAATGAAAAGATTCTTGCGTAAGTTTGTGTAGGTTTTTGGGATCGCTAGAATATTTTCCTTATTGTGGGAAGATAATTTCGAGTATGAAGGGGTGGATACGGTAGAGTAGGAAATACCGTTAATAAGTCGGTGGATAAACACAAGGTTTAATTAGACGTGCCTGATCCAGAGGTTTTAATTTTAGTTGTTGACATCTTTGGTGATAATCCTTTTTGTTGGAATACCCCAAAACATCTTTAATAGACCTCCTTTGAACACCTTTCGTTTTAATCAGGTCATTATGCCTGCAATTAATGTAAACAGAAATACCATATTGAAGAATGGATAAGATACATTTTCTATATAATAATAATCTCGATTTGATATTACTGAAGTTTATCATTATGAGTACAATGAACTTTCTAGCTTTGAATACTTGAGATGCAATGTGCTCGGAAAAGTCCAAATTGTTGCTATATCTCAAACCCAAGTCACGAACAATATTGAGAGGTTTCAGTGTATGTTTGTGTATAGCCAGATCTAGGTTAAGGCAGTGGCCAATGTGAATAAATCCACTTTTGTCAACATTAAATGACAAATCCTGCGGAACATTTCATTCGTTTAAATTTTAAATTTGGTTATTTATTCTCTGAAGAAGTGACTTACACTAAGCCGCGAAACGCCAAAAAATCTTATTTTTCTACTCATTGGGATATCATTCGTATAACCTGTTTATTCCTTCTTGGATTACCGCTGAAATATAGCTTTCTTTGGTGAGAGAAGCGAATGAATAAACTATTTTTAGTTCATCGGCAGAAAGCAAAGGTTACCATAATGAAAGAGGGAACACACGTCATTGATGTGAAGGATAAAGAGTAATGGACAATTCACACTTCCTTGTATAAACCAACTGGTTACATTCACAGGTCTAGAGTAGCAAGATCCAAAGCAGACGATTTGGTTAGGTTCTAAAAAACATTTGAACCAAGATAAAAAGGGATTCTCTATGCCAAATGAAGAGAGTTTTAGAAGTTTGTGTGAGTCACTATCGAAAGCCTTACTGAAATCTAAGTACAGAATTATCACTGACTGACCAACATCTCTTCTGTGGGTGATTTGACCGAAAAATTCGAGGTGCAATGTGAAGTGTGGGCGTTTAGTCACAAATATGTGTTGGGATAGGCTAATTGGACTAGCCGAAAGTAAAAATAATAATAGCTGTTTGTGGATGATTTTTCCATGGTTCTTGTTTGCAAGGATGTCAAATTAATTGGTATATAGTTAAAAACATCACTACGTGATCCTGTTTTGAATCTAGGGGTGATAAGAGATGTTTTCAATACATATGGCTAGGTCCCATATTTCATGGATAGGCTGAAGTTTTAAACAAAAATATAGGAATTGTCTATCATATATCACAAATGAAGGCATCCCGTCATGTTCACCGTCATAAGACGTTTTCAGAGAAGCTGTGGCCTGCTTGATGCTGGAGGGTATAAAACCAATTTTTGATAGGTGACTGGATATCTGTTCTATTACAAAATGTTAAGCAACGTTTGGCGTTCATATCCAAGTGCCTCGCTGCTCTTCGGTTTATTATTGTAGCGACCGAACAGCCAATATTCGGTTGGAACAACGGACTGACGAACCCAAAATTTATTCGATTAGACCAGACCACGTTCCTCTGTATAGCTCACAACGCGTTTTCGAGATACTCGTATTATATTATATCAAAACACAGACTCTGTGCTCAATATAAACGATTCTAATTTAGAAAACAGAACAAATTACATCAAAAATACCTCAAACGGTACAGCCTGTGCTATACAGTCTGAAGTTTCTTTAACGCAAAGTAGCGCGCTAAACAATAAAAGAAACAGGTAATACCAAACGGTTCGATACCTGAGAATCAATACAAATATTCCCAACAAGATGGGATCAAATATCTATCTTCAGGGATTCCGGCAATCCTCCCAAGCAGACGGTCAGAAGTTTAATAGTCACACACTGAACCACGCCGTGACCTTGAGCTTAGTCAAACACAACCTTACTGTCAATAATCCGGCAACATGCAATAGAAAATTAGGTAACAAAAGATAAGTCTTTAATCAAAATCACATTATAAAGGCTCAAACTAGGAAGACTGAAGAACAAAAGATGTGGTTAAACGAGATCTGACCAAAGGTTAAAATACACAACAGGGAGAAAGAAAAAATAAATGACATTACTGTCCAACAAAGAAGCTGCAGAGGGATTTTCATCGTTCTCCTTCCGTTACAATTATTATTAGCCAATATACGATTTGCTCGACTTTTCTGAGTTATGGCTTGCACTAATGACTACTGTCAGACCTTCAATAAACTGATAAATTTCTATGGTACTTACTAAGAAAGCAACTGATGGAGTATTTACCTAAAAAGTCAGTATGTATTGGCTAGGGAGTTTTCCAGAAGGTTTGTCGTGGGGGAAGGTTTGGGGTGGAGGACACGTGACGGTTTTCCACATTCTTTTAGAAGACCAGACCAGACCTTGATGCTGGAGTGTCTGGCGGTCTCCAAAATCTGGTCAGGAGATGCTGCTAGTGTATCGACAGTATTGTTCATGCTGAGATAAGAACCGCTTGCACCTGTTGAAGGAGCCTAATTAACACGAGCTATTTATAGAGGCCTTCGTCAAAAGCGTTCTGACCAGTGATCTCTCTAATACGTGGCGACATTTCCGCACCGAAGCCGTCTGTATGATGTCCGGAGCACATTACTAGTGCACATACTTTGTGTAATGTAGCTGTCGAACTCAGTAATACACTCACCACTGCGAAGAACTGCGCACATGGTTCGGTCGCTCTGCGTCCCGGTAAGTCATTTTTGAATGGCAGAAACAGGCCACCATATTGCCAAGCCAGAATGAGTTGTGTTGCAGAGTGGAGTTATGGAAGACCGAATGTTCAAACGTTCAGGTGGTTGTTGAGATTCATAAAAATAAAATATATGAATATGCAAGGAGAATTCGAGAATAATAACATCATCACAAGAAAAAAAACAGATTTATATATAAGGTATCGCAATAAGGGAAAGATACATAACATATCGTTTTGTGTGCTATATCATTTCGTGTTTCACTAAAACTGACTCAGGATAGTAACAAGTTCCAATTTACGGATACTCTGTAGAACTATGGTCTACTATGATATTAGTGCTGCTCTAATAATAGACCTAATCCTAAATTTGTAGATTTGTCATGATATAACTGCCTAATCTATAAGATCTTACGTGGAAGTCACACCATCGACTACGCCAACTCACTGTATCGTATCAATTACCAATACATGATGTAGAACAACGTTAAGCTAGAGAAGGAACAATATATTTAATACGAATAGAAGATATAAGATAACATTCAGATGGACCACGCCTGCATGGCCGAGCCATGCCATCCGATCAACTCCAGTCCATTCAGTTCATTGTTCGCGCCTTCTCCATCGTTAGGTATTTATCCGCGTTAAATATTGAATATCTATTTTCTGAGTAGTCTCGCGTTCAGCTTTGTGGATTGTGCGGTTATTGTCCAATGCCACTACACTACTCTCCCACCAGAATCAACGTGATGTTGGTTCGATACCGAATTGGATGGGATTGTCGTGCGCCGAAGGTTACCAAGACTAGGAGGAATCCCCCGGGGTAATGATAAGCTGAAAGGTAAATCAAAAAGAATGCAGCAGCATCTGGTCGGGAAATACATGTAATAATTTTTAAAATATCTGCCTTCATGCTTAACACGCTTAAAATGAAAATGTGGGTGAAGATTATTTGAGCTATAAAAAATGGGATTACAATAATAATAATAAAGTGATGCGTGTTAATAGCCGTTGGTTAGTAACTTGACGTATAGGTAGTAAGTATTTTGTGTTTCGAAATATTAAAAGCAATTAATATTGTAGAAATGTTGATATTGGTATTAGTTTTGGTTTAAATTATAAGATCAAATAACGTTCATGCTAATAAGTTGTCCATGAGTTGATTTTCAATTGCATTTGTATTAGTAGGCTAACTGAAAGAACAAAAGTATTACCGTGGAGAAGAATTCCAACTAGTGTTCCAGTTAGTTTGATACGGTTTATTTAGTTACGGGGAGATTTTCTCAACCTCATTTTTATTTGACCGTGATAGAATTTAGTAATACTACTAATACACATCAGTCAGTCAGTCAGTCAGCTACAACGTAGGACCAGGCACATGTATGCATCGGCCCAGGTTGCCATACCTCATTAGCACAGCAAGATGAACACTGGATTCATAGGAGTGGTTAGGTCAAAGGTGGTAATATATAGGAGAAAGATTGCAATAAGGATATAGTATAGGAAGAAAGAATTAGTTCGTAGAAAGAAAGATGTGAAGTGATCTTAATCTCTTAGTTTAAGAGAAGACAGAGAGTGTATACACCGACGCCATTGTGATCGATTCTGAGCCATGTCACCAAGGGTCTCCAACCATTGGTTACGAAAGTCACGCGGACCCCAACCAAGTAGTCTGCATCTACCAACATGGCTCAGACTAGAAGTTAGTGACTTCAGGCACTGATGCCACGTTTTGGTTTGGCCGCCCCTAACTTTCTTCCAACCATCCCCTACACCGGTTAGCATTGCACGTCGCGGTAATCGGTGTTCAGGCATACGTAATACGTGGCCCAACCATCTCAGTCGATGAAGATTCATAACCTCATCAACTGATTTACCATCATTCCCTAATACCCTGCGTCTAACCTCACTATTACTTACCCGGTGATCCCAGCAGATGCCAGCAATATTTCTAAGGCATCTGTGGTCAAATACTAGTAGCTTACGGGTGTCTTCTACTCTTAAGGGCCATGTTTCGCTGCCGTAAATTAAAACAGAACGGACAGCCGCGCAGTATACTCGTCCTTTTATTGATAGACGGATATCTCGCCTCCGCCAAAGGTGACGTAAGTTGGCAAAAGCCAAACGAGCTTTACGAATCCGTGCTGAGATTTCGTCAGACACCAACCCATTAGGGCTGATCAGACTTCCAAGATAAGTGAAGTTGTCAACTCGTTCGACTACTTCACTCCCTATCCTTAGTTCAGGTGTTGACGCAGACCAGTCCTGAAGCAACAACTTGCATTTAGAGGGAGAGAAGCGCATCCCAAACATTCTGGCATTGTTGCTTAGTGCTACCAGAAGACTCTGCATTTTGTCAGCGTCTTCACCAAACAGGACTATGTCATCTGCATATTCTAAGTCGATAAGTGGACCTCCTGGAAGGAGATCAATACCCGAGAATTCAGTCGACGAGAGTGTTATTTCCATCAATAGGTCTATGATGAAGTTAAACAAAAATGGAGAAAGTGGGCAGCCTTGACGGACACCACTTGAGGTTGCAAAAGTAGATGACAGTTCGCCATAAGCCCTGACTCGACTAGTAGTGTTCGAGTAAAGAGCCTTCACAAGGTTTATGTACTTCTGAGGTACGCCTTTCAATGACAGACACTGCCACAGAGTCTCGCGGTCTACAGAGTCAAATGCTGCTTTTAAGTCAAGAAAGACCACCATCGTCGGACGCCGATAGGTATGCCTGTGTTCTAGAACCTGACGAATGGTGAATATGTGGTCGATGCAGCCACGACCAGGTCTAAAGCCAGCTTGGTTCTCTCGTGTTTGTAGTTCACGAGTCTTAGTTAGGCGTTTGATAATTATCGAGGCCAGTATTTTAGATACTATGTTTGTTAAACTAATCCCTCTGTGGTTGTCACAGGATGATTTTGACCCTTTCTTATATATTGGGACGATAAGTGATTGCGACCAGTCAGATGGGATAACGTCTAATTCCCAGATCTTAGCTAAAATATTAGTCAACCTAATCGCTAAAATTGGACCACCATCCTTAAAGACCTCTGGAGCCAATCCATCTGGACCAGCTGCCCTTCCTCGTTTCAGATTAACTATAGCCTTCTCAACTTCAGCAAGAGTTGGGGGACCTACTTCAATGTTCCATTCACTTTGTCTGGGAATGGAGGGTAGTTGTAGAGTAGCTGAAGGCCAGCTGAACTGTTCTCTAAAATGTTCCGCCCATCGTTCTAAACGTCTGGACTGGGAGCAGATGAGAGTATCATCTTTTTCCGAAATAATCTCACTTACACTTGACTTATTAATTCCAGTTTCTTTTATTAGTCTGTAAAGCTGTCTTGTGTTCCCTATAGTCGCCGCCTTTTCCATCTCTTTTGCTTTCGTTACCCACCACTGCTCACGGTCGTTCCTTAGACTTTTTCTTAACCTAGATCTGATTTGTTTACGCTCTTCATCATGTTCAGAACCTGATGGGACGAGTTTGCGAGAATCCATCAGTGTGACAGACCTTGAAGAAATCCACTGGTTCCTTGTAACTCTGTGGTTTAAGTCACTAATAGATGTCACTGCTGTTTCCACAGCTGATTGTATGCCCTTCCAAGCAACATCTGGGTCAGCCTCGTCTTCACAACTACCTAAGTGTGACCTCAGTTGTTCCTGGAACCTACTTTTGGTTTTCTCGTTACTCAACTCAGTTCTAATGGGTCTTTTTAATGTGGCTTTTTTGCGTCCAGTGAGGCGCAAGCAGATGCGTGCCCGTATTAGGGCATGGTCGGAGTCCAAGCAGGTACTCCAGAATGAGCGACAATCTTCTACCGACCCTCTCCAACGATGACTGATGGCAATATGGTCTATTTGAGTCCATCGTTGGTTTGGTGTAGGGGGTCGCCATGTTAGACGATGTCTCTCCTTATGCTTAAAATTTGTGTTTGCTAAAAATAAACGATTGTCTGAGCATAGCTGCAGCAGACGATCACCATTATCTGTTCGCTGTGTCGGAATACTAAAATATCCACCTAAATGCCTTTCTGTTTGGTTTAAACTGCCTATCTGAGCATTAAAATCACCCGCTACGAGTACTATGTCTGAGCGTTTAGCTTTCTGAAGAAGTTCGGACAGCTTTCTGTAAAATTCATCTTTCACTTCATCTGAGCTGCAGTCAGTGGGAGCGTAGGCAGAAACGACAAAAAGGCAACGACGTGTGTCCCTATCCTTCCGAGTTCTTACGTAGCCGTTCAGCCGAACAGCACATAGACGACTGTTGACGGGGATCCACTCTAGCAGTGCTTGTTCGGCCCTCATGCTTAGTGCTATGCCTACACCTGCCAGTCCACGAGAACTTGCCATCGGGTCACCAGACACACGAAGGGTGTATCTCGTTGGCTCTCCGTCTTGCCGAGGTGAGGTCAAGTGAATGACCACACTGGAATCCTGTATGCGTGTTTCGGAGACACAGCATACATCAATGGAAAGAGACTCTAGGGTTTTAGCCAAGGAAGCCTGCTGACCGATTTGACATAGGGTGCGTACGTTGAAGGCTCCAATGTGTAGTTTGGAGCGAGGTTTCAGTAGACCTGGGACAGTGTTTTGCGCACTAGAATCGTTGGCTACGGTGACACTTGAGGTGGAAGCCGAGAGAGGAAATATAGAGTTGAAAGTCGATGTAGGAGGAATAATAGGAATTGAAGAGGAGGTTGATTATGAATACAGTGGTCTTGAGTGCTGTTAGAAGTATGAGGGCGGTTATCACTTCCCGGTTGCCCACACCGTGGAAGGGTTGTTCTGGAGGTACCTGAAAAGGAAATTGGATTAGAGGTGGTCTTAGTGACTGCAGTGCCCAAGACAACTGCTTGAGGTCGGTCACACACGACCTTGTTATGGGTAATTTTTGTGTTAGCTCCGTACTTATTGAGACCTTACCGCCGGAGACGGATATCCGTGGGATAAGGCGAGGTGTGCATTTTTAGGGTCGACCTTTTCTAACCCCACCCCTCCTTGTGGGAAGGCAGCATCGCTGTCATGCTGGTTGTCTGAAGGAAACACCTTACTGCTGTCACACCTCTGTACAGTCAGCAGTACGACTTCGCCTTCGGACCTTGGGTTTGTTGCTTTTAGTCTTACCGCTCTTCAACCGACCTGTCTGACATGGTAGGACCTTGAGGAACGGTTGTTCCAGCCAGTATAGCTCGGTTGCTTCATCACGATAGGCAAGCCCGACCACCACGTCAAGGTAGCAACAACGGTCGGGGTCTGTAAGAGTGGTCTATCAATAAGTATTCTTTTTACTTCAGTCAAATAGGTGGTGAGTGTCTCGTAGGACATAGTTTACTCGCTAGATACTGCGCTCAAAATTCCACGTATGCTTCCTATTAATCTTTCCCATACTCCACGATGACTCGCGTAGGGTGTATTATGATGCCATTCTATGTTCCGATGAATCATTTCTTTAGCTACTCTACTATCCCTAAAGTGTGGTAATAGATGTTTTATCTCCTTCTCTAACCCAACTAAAGGGGACACGGATGTAGTTGTCTTAAACTTCTTATCGTCATCAGCAGACTGAATAAAACAACCATCTTTCTGACTCTGTTTCACACTTGATGTCAATAGAACTCTCAGCAGATGCCACTACAGGAGATATAAGTTTCGTATTTGCAGAGAACTCGGTTGTTGTTGCTTTGACACTAATGGAAGACTCATGTGGTAGTATCGCAGAGTCAGCATTATTGTTTACGTCAGAAACAGGGAAATCTGGTTCGGCAGAGCACATAACAGATGTTTTCGATGACATTAACTCGCCACTATCTGTTGAAAAAAATTTGTCAGGAGAAATACACCTAAGGTTAATATTCACAACTGTATCGACATGAAAATCGTTGCAGTTTTTAGAAGGTACTCATCGTCAACAGCTGGTGGTGAAATAACTTGTTCTAAATACATTAGATTCGCGTCTGTCACTTTAGATACAAATCAAAGGGTCTTAAGTCGGTTACTTCTTGAATCAGGCGGTGTTAGATCCAAAAGAACAAACTGACGTGGAACCTTGATGAACCCTGGAGTCGTCAGCCTCAACAACAACTGCTTCTACTATGAGTGAGCGTACATCATCATCGACTAAAGATGCCATAGGAGAGTGGTTAGTGCGTAAATCATGACCACTAACATAGCGATGACTGTGCCGAAAGTTAGTGCTACCAGAAACAGGTTGTGGTCTGAGCAAAGTTGCAGTAGACGGTTCCCGTTATCTGACCTGCGACCAACGAGTCCCATCGGCCACCTAACGACTCTCTTCCAGTGTTCACAACGCTTCTACCAGTAACACCTTCTAATATGTTTCGTTCCCACCAAGAGAAATCAAAAGACAGAGTCGAGGAGATCGGAAGAGTATATTTGGCGATGACCAATATACCGGGATTCTCTGATCTAATCTGGCTAGCGATTGTGGTTGATGTTGAGCACGGCGTTACTACACGTGATCTGGTGCGGATGCCTGACCGAGCGCCTTCAGCTAGATGAGTCCACTAAAACATATGGTCAGCATCCAATGTCGAAAACTTACAGAGCTATTTATTTTAGGGATTTATTTACCGCTACAGATCACTCCCCCCCTAGTGGGGCAGTGACGACCCTAAGACGTGGCCAGCCAGAAGTTTAAACCCAACGAGTTTGTCGTTGGTAAACACTCTTCTGATAGCTTACTAAATTTAGCAGCGTCTGGTCGTCTTTCCTTACTATATGGGACGGAGGTACAACATAGTAAAAAAAAGAAAATGTACAATGAAAATTTCGGATCCTCATAAACGTCATCGTTCTTTTCCAGCCGTCCTGGAAAAGAAAAAAGAAAATGTAAGTGCATGTCGAAAATACACTCGTATATGCGTAAAAACACAAGGTCGGCGGAAAAAAAATGGAAAATAAACTCATGAGCACGTAATAGCGTTAAAAAATTGTTTTTTTTGTTTTGTTTTTTTTTAATAGAAATAAAAATATATAAGCATATTAAAATTGTTTTTTTTTCAAAAAAAAAATAATATAAAATGTCGAGAAGTGCCTTACGTGCAATAGTCGTTTAAATGTTCTGGAAATCTCACCCTTCTTCCAGAACGCGTCGTTTTAAGTTTATTTTCGGATACTGTCGAAGTATCTTCGTGTGCGTTGGTTGTCGGATGAGGTATTATTAGTGTCTGAGTCGTGTCGTTCGATTGTACCGAAGGAAAATCGACGTGGATAGGATTTCCTTCTAAATACGCTGCTTTTAAGCGATCGATGCTGATGCTATCGTTGGTTCCGTTCTTATCGACTATATAGTACTTAGATTCACGTTGAAGAACTTTGAAGGGTCCTTCGTATGCTGATTCGAATGGTCGTCGATGCGAGTCTCGACGAATGAAAACGTGTGTACTATATGGTAAGTCAGGTTGAACGAAAACATCAGTTGATTGAGGTCGAGTGGAAGCAGGTTTAACTGAACGCATTGCGTTTGTAAGCCTGTTCGTGTAGGAGGTTAGATCCATGTTCATCGAAGAGCACGAAGGATCCACGAATTCTCCTGGAAGTCGAAGTGTCGTTCCATAAACGAGTTGAGCCGCAGTGTATCCAATGTCAGCTTTCACTGCATTGCGGATACCTAGTAAGACGAGTGGAAGAGCGTCGGTCCATTGTGAAACGTTTGCAGCTGATAGCGAAGCTTTCAGTTGTCGGTGAAAACGTTCTACCAACCCGTTTGCTTGGGGATGGTAGGCGGTCGTTCGGAAGCGAGTGATTCCTAAAAGTGTGGTCAGACGACGGAAAAGATCAGATTCAAACTGACGTCCGCGGTCTGTAGTGATGGTTGAAGGGCAACCGAAGTTTGCTACCCATCGTTCGACGAATGTGCGGGCCACTGTTTCAGCAGTGCTGTCCTTGATAGGTACTGCTTCTGGCCATCGAGTGAAACGGTCTACGCAGGTTAAGAGATAAGAGTATCCATTTGAATCTGGTAAAGGTCCTACCAAATCCAGATGAACATGGTCGAAACGAGCATCGGGAGTTTTAAACGAGCCTAAGGGACATTTATTGTGTCTGATAACCTTAGATTTTTGGCAGCTTACACAGGAGCGTGCCCACTCCCTCACGTCTTTATTCATGCCAGGCCAGCAAAATCGTTCTGCTATAAGCTTGATGGTTGCACGAACACCTGGATGAGAAAGTTTGTGCAATGTGTTGAAGACATTGCGTCGATAATGTTTCGGCACGATTGGGCGATCCCTACCTGTAGATGTGTCACAAAGTAAGGTTTCCTTACCTGTTCCCATCTGTTTGATGCGTAGTTTAAGTGTTGTGGACGATAACTCGTGCTGAAGATCACTGTCTTCTTTTTGAAGCTCGGCGAGTTTAAGAAGGTCGATTCCTTGGAAACTGTTCAAGGAAGTTATACGAGATAAAGCGTCTGCAACTACATTGTTTGCTCCAGAGATGTGTTGAATATCTGAAGTAAACTGCGAAATGTAGTCCAGTTGTCGAGACTCACGGGGAGAGTACTTGTCAGAAGGAGAGCTTAACGAGAAAGTGAGCGGTTTATGGTCCGTGAAAAGAGTGAATTCACGGCCTTCGATATAGTGTTGGAAATGCCGTACAGCACAATACATAGCTAGGAGTTCCCTACCGAATGTGCTGTACCTCGATTCGGTGTCTAGCAACCTTCTAGAGAAAAATGCCAAGGGTTGCCAGGAGTTGTTAACCCATTGTTGTAAGACTCCTCCGATTGCTGAGTCGGATGCGTCTACTGCGATGCTAATGGGTGCTCGGGTGTCCTGATGTGCGAGCATTGTTGCTTTAGCAATCAGTTCCTTGACTGTGGAGAATGCTTTTCGTGCGGTGTCGTCCAAATTAATGGATTTCGCATTTCCACGAAGTTGGTCGGTCAGAGGTTTCATAAGTGATGCGCATCTGGGTATGAAACGTCTATAGAAACTTACCAGGCCGTTGAACGTGCGTAATTGCTTGACGGTGGTCGGTTCTGGGTAATCCAGAATGGCCGCCACTTTGGTTCTAAGGGGTCGGATACCTTGAGCATCGATAGTGTGTCCCAGAAAGTCTAACGAGTCGGTTCCAAATTGGCATTTCTGAACGTTTACAGTTATGCCATGTTTTTGTAATCGTTCGAAAACAAGGTCCAGATGCTTGAGATGTGTTTCTCTGTCCGGACTTGCGATTAGACAGTCGTCAACATACGCGTGTACGAAGTTGAGACCTCGAAAAACGTCGTCTATGAATCTTTGGAATGTTTGAGCAGCATTCCTTAGACCGAAAGGCATTCGCAAAAATTCATAGAGTCCGAAGGGAGTTATGATAGCCGTTTTCGGTATGTCGTCAGTAGCCATAGGGATTTGGTTATACGCTTTAACCAAGTCGATTTTCGAAAAGACAGTTGTACCTTTCAAGGTAGCTGTCAAATCGTGAATGTGAGGCAACGGGTAACGATCGGGAATGGTTTTCGCGTTCAATCGCCGATAGTCACCAGTTGGACGCCAATCGTTGCTGTCCTTTTTAGGGACCATGTGCAACGGAGATGCATATGGGCTACTTGACGGTCGTATGATTCCTAAGTCCATCATGTGATCGAATTCGTTTTTCGCTAACCTTAGCTTTTCAGGAGCTAGTCGTCGTGCTTTAGAAAATACAGGTGGTCCTGTAGTCGTGATGTGATGTGTAACATTGCTGGTTACACACGGTAGTTTCGGTTGAGTTTGTTGTATCCCAGGGTACTTATCGAGTAGTGGTTGATAGAGTGGGTCTATCATATGTTTAACTGTGACTGGGGATACTCTACAACCAGTAAAAGAAGTTACGCAAACGGACAAATTAGTGTTTCCGTCTACTAGCCTCCGTTTGCGAGTGTCGATGATCAGATTGTGGTGTTGTAGAAGGTCCATACCAATGATTGGCATAGAAACATCTGCAACGACGAAAATCCAGTGGATGGGTTTGCGTAAACCCACGTTAAGGTAAACGTACCTTTTGCCATACGTAGCGATCGGTTTTCCGTTTGCCGCCTGTAAGTTTAGGGTCGATTCGTGAAGTCGGTCGTTAGGATTTGCTGGGAGAACGCTAACTTCTGCGCCAGTGTCGACGAGGTAGCGAACTCTCGTTGTCACATCTGTGACGAATAACAGACGGCTTTGTTCGCCGGCTACGGTTGCCGTTAACGCGTGCCGGCTTGGAAGTTTCCCGAATCAGTCGGTTTCGTGTTGGGAAAATTGCAGGGTTTTCTGCAATTTCTGGAAAACTTTCCATACTGGTTATGATACCAGCACCAGTCGGGGTTATCTGTCTCTCGTGGTCTAGAGACAGATCGCTTACGAGAAATGCTTCTACGTGGTGTGCGCGATCTCTTACGGTCGGTACGAAGACTAAGATAACGCGTGAGTGTGTGACATAAGTCGGTTATGTCATTCTGAGTCGTGTGAGGCTTTTCTTTGACTGAAAATACCTCGGTAGTAGAAGGTTTCGTAATTTCTAGAATGCGGTCGGCAGATACAGCTAGTTCGTCTAAGGCGTTGTTCTGGAACGAGACCAGAACTGCTTGCACCTGTTGGGGAAGTTTTGACAAGAAGAG